TCATACCTTAAAATCACAATTTTTGTAAATTTGGGCCACATTTTCTACTAGATTACTCACCAAAAGAAAAAAAAAAAAAAAAAAAAGAACAGAAAGAAAGAGAATAACAGAATATTTACCTTGTGGTGGACTATGGATTCATCAAAAGCACACCCCAGAGGATGAGTGTCTCCTGTAACATAGTGACCAAGCATTTTTTTTCATTCAGATAGTCTTCCAAAAAAATAAAATAAAATAAAATAAAAAAAGAATTTCACCATATATGAGAAATCAAAAGGGAATTACTCACCAACAACAGCCCATTGGGGAAGCCCTCCAAAGACAGGCAGAAGAAGAACCTTTCCAAGATCTAAAATCCACCAAAGCAAACAGTGTAACTTAATGTTTTTGTTTATAGTTACAGTCACATATTATAATATATATATATATATATATATATAGTATATATCCTCATTTCTATCAACAAAAAAAATAGTATATATCCTCATTGTCATCCAAAACAAGAATTTCAATTTAATAGTCCTCTTGACGTTGTCCACTAGGAATTGCCGTGCCCAAAAAGACAGAATAAACAGCAAACTTTCTGGACAAAGTCAGATGCAGCCAAGGACTGCCATGAATTGCTCAACGCATATCTAATAAAAATATATTTTATACATGTATGTGTGTGTATATATATATATGACGATATATATACATACCATGGATAAGAGCAGTCAAGTGCAACCAATCCTCCTCTGGGTAGTCTTTTCTAATAGCTTCAGCAGTTTGCAACAAGTGCTCAATTTGAGGCTCATCCAAATCAGGATCACTATCATCCACAACCTCATTGAGGAGTTCACAGCATTCCCATATACTCATTTCCGCTCTGTTCAACTTTCCATACTCCTCCCTCATCCTCTTCACCTACATTTTTATATTCAACACGACATTTTAATAATAAGCCTGAAACATATCGCAAACATACATATCGTGACCGTGTCAAACTCGTGCACATTTTTTCTATGTGTACAACGCTTTCTCAGATTTATTTTTTGCTTACATATTCGTAGGTTTGGTTAAGGTGGTTCAACCGGTAAAATTCCTCCACGGTTTTCTGCCTCTCACTCTCTGCGTTATAGTCTCTGTAGATCAAAGCATTTGACATTTAAATACCCATAAATATATATATATATATATATATATATGAATTGGACTAAAATAAAACATTTTAAATAAATGAACCTGAAGGACTGGCCAAATGAGTTGATTTCTGGGGCAATAAATTCATTATTTGACACGAAAATTTCTGATATAACACATCCATGGTTTGACAAATCTTTAGGCACCACAAAACCGCCATCTAGTACCAATTCATTGGTTTCTGAACAAAGTTTCTTGTTCTCAACATGTGACACTACATTTTGGAGAAAAAAATAACAACAATATTCATATTAATTCCAAGATCAAATGAAAAGAAAAGATATTGAAATATATATATATATATATATGTATATATATATAATTATTACCATGTTCGGGTTGCTCAATGAGGATTGTCATCTTTGCTTATATTTTGAAAAGGACTAAAAAAAAAAAAAAAATATGTGAATCAGAGACACAAACGCACAGAAAGAATGATGATAAGAAGAAAGAAAAGAAATGGAAAGCAAGAGCTTGAAAGAAAACGCTGTGATGCTTAAGTCGTGAAGGTTGGTATTTATACTCATTAAAAAGTCCTTGCCTGAGAATTTGGAAGTTTGGAGTCCTCAACTGAAAAAAATATCTACAATTACCTAACTCTTTTATTTTATCCAATACCCCCCCGGAGGAAGCGTTCAGAATCAATATCAAAAGGACAACATCAGGTGCGACTCTCCTTTGTCCGTATCCGATCATTACCCAATAAAGCTGCTCCACGTGTAAGAATCATATAAATCACGCATAAATCGTCTTTGATCGGAAAATTTACCTTCTCGTAAAACAAGAATATTCCGGAGAAAAAGGATAAAGATATCGTTAATATTTCTCATACATTCACAACTACGGACATGTGTTTTACGGGAATAAAATATTCAAAAATCAAAATTTACAATAAAACTTGAAAAAATACTATTTATACGTCTATATTTTCAATTGTACGACTTTACTATAAAAAGACTATAAGAATTATAATTATTAAATTTCTTCCAAAAATTTCTTAATATATCTTATCAGAAGAGATTTAACTAACTATATTATATCATAATATTTAAAAAAAAAATTAAAAATACTTTTAAAATTTTTTAAGCGTTTTTGCATCCGAGTCCATTGAATAAAATAACATGTTAGTTACTTTTTTTTTTAAGGGAGTTAGTTACTTTTTTTTAGATGGTAATTAGTTAATTTTCGAAACACGAAAGAGTGAATCTGATTCTGTGATTCATATATACGTCAAAATAATTCTTAATTTAATTTTCACAAATAACGATATTGCTACTCTTGGTTGAAAATTTGCCTATTTGGGAAAAATGGTTACACAAAAATCGCGTAGGGGTGGCCGCAGAGGATATTATGGCAACAGAATACGCGGAAAATGTGAAGTAAGCTGTATGAGTCAGCTACGCGTGTACAACATATCTAAAATTTTGAGTTTTTGGATATTCTGACGCGGAATCTAGTCAAGGCAAGTAATGTATACAGTTTCCTTTTTATTTATCTATTTATATTTATTCATTTTGCCATTTTTTGTCCATATGAAAGTCTACGGCTGAGCTGGAGCCTGCAAGTCCTACAGCGGAAAACGTTTTACAAAATGGGAAAAAAAATTGGTTGAGGAATTGAATGGAGGTTCGAATGTCAGTGTCACCATAGCCACAGCTGCTTGCAAAATATTTATATATATATATATATATACACACACATATATATTATGTTGTTATATTTCTTGAATTGAGATGAGCTTTTTTCTGAAGGATGACAGCTGATTATCCATGAGCTCGTTTAATTCGTTGATTCGAGTTTTTAATTTTAGTTGAAATATGATTTTATGTGAGAACTTTTTACTGTAATAAAAAAGTTAAATGTAACTGTTTCTGAGAGTTTTTCACTGTAACTGTAAAACCCAAAATTTATTTGGGGTTAATTTGAAATTTTTAAAGACTTAAGTGTGAAAATTTTAGAAATCTGGGCCATAATTCGAATTTAAGAGAAATATGGGGGTCAAAATGAAAATTTTGACAGTCAGCATGCCCAACCTGTCATTTAGTGCCACTTGGGCGTGTTACTCATCCTCACAAATCAGAAAACCCTCACTTTCCCTCTCTCTCTTCATTCTCTTTGTGTGTCTCTCTCTCTCTCTCTTTCTCCACGTACGGCCGACCAACCTCCGGCGAGATTCCGGCATCCGTTTTCGACACCTCCCGGCTCGTTGGAAAGATCTCGTCAAGCTGAGTCCGGATTGGTGTCTTCCAGCCGCCAACTCCGCCGGACGACGCCACACTCGCCGGCCAAAGTTTCGAAAAACACCCAAACTTCCGATCGTGATATCTTCGCCGTCCGGTGTCCGATTGAGGTGATTCCAGTCCCAATAGACTCAGAGCGAAGAGACGAAGAAAACTGTACCAGCAGCACGGCTTGATTCTGACCGGAGCGCCGCCGCCTGTGGTGGTCGGATTTCTCACCGCCGCCGCCCTCGTACCTCCCTCTTCCGGCTGCCGTGAACGACACCGCCCAGCTCATTAGCTTCAGAGGGAGCCGACGAGTCGTTCTAGGCCACCAACCGTGGTCACCGCCGTTGGCTTGCCGGAAAATGAACCGCCGCCGCCGTGAGAAAAATGGGAGGATGGTTCTGATGATCTAGCCGTTGGATCATCGTGATCTTGGTGTCAAAATACTCAGAATCTCACGGGTAATGAAAGCCCTCAATCAATTTTGAAGATCCGTGGCTGAAAAATAAAGATTCAAGACTCAAAATTCGGCCGGAATTGAGGATCTCGATCCGAGTTGTTAGAGGCCGAATTTGGTAAAATTGACATCACCATTGGATTCAGAACTATTGATTTAGGGGGGGTAAGACCCAAGTCCGCCGTGGGATTCTTCACCGGGAAGCTCCGCCGCCGTACCGCCGCCGGTGGCCGGATTCCGGCGAAGCTTCGTTTCTCAGCTTCTCGACTTCCGATTGACGTTCCGTTTTGAGGTAGGGGTCCTATTACTTAACTTTTGTGGAATTTTATTTAATTTAATTTATTTTGTTAAATTTGAGAAGATTGAAATTGTATACCAAACTTATTTATTACTGTTATACGGCGTGACTTGAAACAGAACCATTAGGGGGCCCGTCCTGTAATGTACAGCGTGGCCAAGAGATTTTGACATAATTTTGGAACCTGACACAAAAGCATGGTTAGGAGAATGTAAACCGGACACGATCGTGAGATAGTGTGCAAACAGTAGGTGTGGTCGTTCACCATCCCTGGGTGTGAACCCGAAAAGGTAAAAGAGGGGAGAGGTGATGACGCTCTCCGAGGTTGAGAATCCCCAAGGTTACTGTATAGTGGTTGTGTCTTGGTGAGGGCTCGGAATGACAGTTCACCATTGCCCGTGTTTCGAGAACTGATCTGGTAGGGACGCCGAGATAGAGCTCCTTGCTATCAATGCCACTGAATCACCGCGCCCTTCGGGGATTTTTTTCGTCACGAGCGTACGAATTAGGTTATCTCACTGATACTGATCATCTGACTCATTATACATAAAACATAAAAAAACTACTAACCATGCAGGTTTAATTGGAAAACTAAATAAAATTAAAGGTGAGTAATAGTCCTCCTACTGAGCATTTCATGCTCACCCCCTTTCTCTTCCCATCCCCAGGTGGTGTGCAGTGTAATCTTTCAGACGAAGTGTAGACGTCTCATAGTGTGCACGTGTTGGAGACATATCCCTTCTTTTGGTCTTCTTTTTTTTATGTAAGATTCTGACTGGGTTGTTTACAACATGGATGTGACTGATGATGGTTGTATTATTTTAGTATTTTACTCGGTGCTACATTGTACTGTGGATTTCTGGTTTAATTTTCTTTGTCGAGTTGTGATTTTAATCATGAGTTTTTCGTTAAAAGTCCCATGGGCACTTGTCGTTTATATTTCAGGAGTTATATTTTATTTTTATTTTCGTTTATCCCTCGTATTTTATTCTTATTGCGTAACCCCCACCTAGGGGCGTTACAAATTTTGGTATCAGAGCCTAGGTTGGGAAACCTAGGAAATGTAGCACCATTTTACACGGTTTTAATTGGGTTTTATCCTTTTTTGAGTAAATCATCATCAGTACTAATCCTGTCGAATTTTCACAGTCAAATCAAAAAAATATGCCGCCAAGGCGTAATCCCCAACCTGCTGCCCCAGCTTTCGATATGGAACAATTTGCTGCCATGTTCCAAGCCTTTCAAAATGCCCAAAATCCTCCACAGGATCCAAATGCAGCTCAACAACGCCTGACATTGCTTGAAAAGTTCATGAAGCAGAAACCTCCTACTTTTATTGGCGAGCCAGATCCGGTAGCCGCCGAGCAATGGTTAAAGAGCATCAAAAAGAAACTCCAAACTTTAGGAATTCCATCAGAATACTGTGTTGATTTTGCAACCTACATGTTTGAAGGAAAAGCGGAGCAATGGCTAGAAAGTCAGGGGGAAGACTATGATATACCTAATCTTCCTTAGGATGAGTTTGAGGCACTGTTCAAGAGGACGTTTATTCCTGAGAACCATCGACTGAGGATGATCAGAGAATTTGATGACTTGGTACATGGTGATATGACAGTAGCACAATATCATGCCCGGTTTATCGATCTATCTCGTTACAATCATGGCGCAGTTGCAGAGCCTATGGCTAGGTGTGAGAAATTCCGAAAGAACCTGAGGCCTAGACTGAGACAGATGATAGCATCTACTGCTTCAAACAACTTTCTCAAGCTGGTTGATGCGGCCGAGCGAGCCGAAGCCGAGCTCAATAGCACTTATGGAGAGTACAAAGGACCAGGAGGAAGCGAAAAATCAAGAAAAATGGGTAAAAAGGATAAGACACAGGGTCAAGGTTCGTAAAATAGTGGCACGAGTGGCAGTAGTAGCTCTTCAAGTAGCAGACGCTTCCAGCCTTACGCCTGTTATACCTGTGGGCAACCCGGACACCTTAAGCGAAATTGCCCAAACTGTCCGATGCAGTCGCCTTTAGCTCCTGGGGAACAACAGAGTAGCCATACTGGTTCAGCTTCAGGTAGTGGGAATCAAGCATCTTTTCAGAACCCGACTGCTTCTTATGCTTTTGTCCCTCAACCGCGTGGTCTTCAGCCACATTATTACCTCCAGCCACGACCACAAGGTTCAGGTTTTCAGCAGAGTCAGAGTTATCAGCCTACTCCTCAAGCTTCTGGGAGTCAGAGACCTTACTTTTCAGGAGGAAATGCTGGTGCAAGTAGCAGTCATGGGAATTGTGGTAGAGGACAAAAGAACAAGGGAAAGTCCCAGGCTCAAGCTTATGCTGTCACATCAATGGCAACCACTGGTCGGGGACAACAAGCTGATCACTCCGTAGTTGATGGTACGATACTTGTCTCTCATTCTTGGGCTCAGGTGTTATTTGATACTGGTGCCACGCATTCTTTTATTTCCATGTTATTTGCTTCAGTTCTACAATTAGGC